TGGCTAATGTAACCTTCATCAATCAGAGATGAGGAGCAAGCTGCACAGGTCTGCTGACCTGATACTCCACAGATGTTTTAACTTTTCAAACTTGTAGTCAGCCCCAACCAACACTGACTCAAGTGGCATCATTGGAGGCAATTCAAATGAATTTTCTCATCTCCCTTTGGAGACACAAAGCTATATACAACTGCTTTTTCACATATACTCCCCATCAATAAAGACTTTAATGGGTATAATTGGCAGTAGCCCTTTAAATAGAAATAATTGTTACAATAAATATATGGCTATGTTGATTGTAAGAAAATGTTTAGTGTACTGTAACACATAGCTCTGTGACGCTCCTGCCCCTCTTGCTTCCTGTCGTGCTTTTATTTTCACATTACTTCCTGTTCTGTTTCACCTCAGTTTTGGCCTTTTTACTTAAATCATCATTAGTTCACCTGCTCCTTATTGTTTGCACCTGTTTTTTACTTCTATTTAGGCAGTGTCCTCCCACCAGGACGCTGCCAGATTGTTCTAGACTCCAGCTTTGACTCTCCAGCATTTATACCTTGCCTGACTCTCTGTTTTTGACCTTGGATTACTGTTTTTTGACCATCGTGTTTTGCCTATGCCCTCCCAGATTCTGATCGCCTGCAGTGTACCGACCTTCTGATTTAGTCCCCCCTTGACCTCGAGTTTGGATCTCCTGGCTATACCTGTTTACCGGCCCTGACGCAGGACTGTCTTATCAACCTGATTGTGATCCTGGACTGTGTGTTAGTTGTTTTGGTTGCAACAAATAAAGAACTTTTCTCTACCTCAGTTCGTCTGGTTTTATAATTGAGTTCACCACAACCTCTGTTTGGCATCTATACACGCCAAACCTGACAAGCTCATTATTTTGCCATGTAAAAGAATGAAAACACATTGTAATCCTAGCAAACAAAAAAATAGCAATGTTCACAACAGAAAAAAATTTGTACTTAAGATAAAAACTGGGCTTACTTTAGTTGAAAAGCTAACATTTTAAAAAGCCTAGTTTATATAGAAATGTAGTTTCCACCATATTTCAATGACAGCTTTACGTTTGTTGTTTACACTTAGCTAAAATTAGTACATCCTGAAGATTGTGTTACACAGAGTGGGCTTCTAGTATTTAGTCAAAAACCTCTGATAACTGGGTTGATATAATATTCGATACACCTCAATATACAATGCAGTTCAACTCCACTACAAACTACACTCTTCAAAATGTCTTTAAATTTAAAATGACACCTTTCAAAAATAATTTCAGCAAAAACTGATAAGCTAGTTATATACTTCAGGAAGGCAGGACTTCATTGCCAGGCTGTACTAGATGGCAGGCCTTAGCCAGATGTAAACTGGCAACTGCTGTGTTTATTTCAACAAATGTAACATTTTTAACCAGCTCAGTTGAAACCTACTCCTTCTGACCTTCAAATCAATAATATTGTGCATGTTAGAGTAATTCAATGTAAAATACTAGCTGCTTTTAATTGCTAGATAAAAGACTGGTTAGCAGGTTTAGCAAACTTCCAAACAACTTTCTTTTCTAATGGTAAACGGTCTTATACTTGTATAGCACTTTTCTACGCTTTACAGCACTCTCTAAGCGCTTTCACATTATTTGGCCATTCACCCAAGCGCTCACACATTCACATACCAGTGTTATCACCGGGAGCAACTGGGGGTTCAGTGTCTTGCTCAAGGACACGTTGACAGGACAAGCCGCTAAACAAATCAAACTGCTAATCCTCTGGTTAGGAAATGACTTGCTCTACATCCTGAGCCACAGCTGCCCCCCAATAAAAACTATCATGTTTACATTTGAGCATGTACCCTTTCACATTCTGATATGAAAGGGAAGCCTTGAAAATGTATACTCTCTAACTGATGAAATATAAAATGCAGCCAAATAATTACTTAATTAACACACAGATAAAGGGACCGTTAAATTCCAAAGTAACAAAAGCTACAGTGTCTTGCTATAACTTGTCACTCTATTTCTCTATTTCTAGATGACAGAGTCACATCCCCATCTTGCAGTGTAAATTAACTCAGCAGGGGAGATTCCACAGTGGTCGTCCAGTTTACTTTGAGATCAGAACTTGTGTGTCTAATGGAGGGGACACAAGAGTTCTCTTTGTAGGCTGTGTAACTCTGACAGTAGTTTGGAAACTGTAGACAGTGGTTTGGAAACTACAGACCCACACAAGGAGGGGAAGTAGTTAAAATGATCATTGAGGGAAGAAAGAATAAAGGCTGCTACCCACAATGTCTATTCATTCTGGGCTATGGTGCCTATGCTGAGAAGGTGAAGGAAGGGAGGGCAGGGGAGGAGGATGGATGGATGGATGGATAGATGGGAGAAAATGTGTGTCAGACATCATTAATCATTTTCCTCACCTGTCAGTAGTATGCTAGGTTATATTTCCCCTCTACAGCTCTCATAACACACACAGGGATATAATGAATCACATATTGAGACAGTGGGTGATTCATCCATTATAAATACACTAAAAGGGTAACAGTTCTGTTAATCATACATGAAGCAGGATAAAGTCTATGTGATTAAAGAAAACACAAAAAAATAAACAGCATGGTATTTTAAAATCATTTACATTTGCATTGTTGGTTCAGTGAAAACTGGAACCAGCCTGCCCTCTACTGAGCAACAAACCACACCACAGAGGCACATCATGCAAAACATATTCAAGGGTTTGGATCAAGTCTTTTTCAAATAGTTTAGTAAATCAAATATATATTAAACTTTAATCCAAAACCTTTTTTAAATAGTGTTTCCCTGCAACTTTTAATGAACCTGAGCGGTGTCAACTGGCAAAAGTGTACTTCATATACTGCTACACTTTTCTCTATTGCACATTTCTACACATTAATAATTCTTCAATTATTAATGTGTAGAATTAATTTTTAATTTTTCAAACACGCTCCACAGGCCGGCCCTCCAGAGATGTCGGTGAAGTGGTTACTGCAGGGTGGCCATACTCGCCATAGAACATGGCTACCCAGCTGACATCATTTCAAGGTGTTTATAGGCTCCTGTCCCCTGGAGCCATGTCCCAAGACCCCCATCAGCTGTGGCGGTACTGGCCAACATCAATCAACATCCTTGCCATCTAGTGTGCACACTGCCAAAGAGAGTACTTTGGCTGTGGAACTCACACATTTATGCCAACCATGGTCATGGCTTAGTCCCTCTCACCATGACCTGCCCCTAGCTTTCAGAGGCACGGTGGGGTAGGACTGGGGTCCACCCACAGGCCATCAGGGGTCTACCTTGGTACCCATTTTATGGTATTCTTTTGGGTCCCTTGGGCATGTGAGTAATGGACTTTGACAGGTAGCCATGTTCTATGACGAGTACAGTCAACCCACAATAATCTTCCTCAACATGAGCATCATATTATTGTAGTTTTGGAAAATTCAGACACATAGATTACATATTGGACCTTTTGGTTCTATGAGTATAGGCGAAGCCAGGGCGAAACAGTGATTGGCTGCGCAAAGAGTTCAGCACAACTGGGGTCAAAGTTCAGCAAATTTGAACTTTCAGTCCATCCTCACTTCACACTGCACCCCGTGGATGCCTGTGCAGAACCTGTGCAGCGCATCACATACACACCAATGGCAAGGCATGAGCAAAAGCCATTTTACCACTGTAATGTGAACATACTGCAGGTTACCCCAACACGTACAGGACTTTGAGTTGGCTTAGGTTCTGAGGACAGTGAACCAGCTTGGTGGGGCCTTTATATAGCATGCTGGGGAGTCAGGGGGGGCGCCATGGACTTTACACATTCATGGGAGTACCCAAGGATGGAGGTAATAATCTTCCTCTGAGCAGGAGGAAGATTTGAGGGGGGAGGCAGGGGTTTTGTTACAATCCCAAACCTTAGTGTGAGAGGTTAAGCTACAGTATGTTCCTATGTCTAAGGCTTAGCAAATCGTAGCCTTCAAACAACACACAGGGACATGCCACAGATGGACAGTGATACGCCCAGAGGGTGAGGACTGGTGCTGTTGCCCACAGTATAGCAGGTGCTCTCAGGGGAGGTAACTTTGGGTCTTTTTTAGGGGAAATACATGCATCTAAGTTCAATAAAAGGTTGTGTTCACTGAGGTCACGCAGTGTAACAGGCACAGTGACACACATAAAAAGACAGCCTGACTCTGGTGTCATTCCTCAGCAAATTCCCTAGAATCTGCTAGCTCACCACAATACCTTAATGCTGTTAAAGGGTTTTGTGGATCTGGGTGAAACCAACCAACAAAACAAACAAATCAACAAATGGCAGTAATATAGTCAATATTTGATTTGGCAGAGTGGTGTTACCAGACCTCCAGAAGGTTGTGCTTTTTCAAAACCCAACCAGAGCTTACTTGTTTTTGTAGTGCCTGTGAGGGTTTCCTCTGGGTACTCTGACTTACTCCCATATTCCAAAAACATGCCAGCCAGGTATGTAGGTAGGTAGATGTGAATTTGAGTGAAACACTAGCGGGCTGTCCAGGGTGCACCCTGCCTCTTGCCCATTGTTGGCTGGGAGTGGCTCCAGTCGCCCCGTGACCCTCTAGAGAATCAGATAATGGATGGCAGGATATTTGATTTTGTCCATTTCAATATATGTAAATACACTACCAGTCAAAATATTTGAACACACTTTCCCTTTTAAATGTATTTATGTTATTAAACATTATAAACTCCTGGCACAAAACTAAATACCAAAGGCACTATAAATATACAGACAACAAATATGGACAAAAGTTTCATATCAAAAGATATTTATTGAATTTATTAGAACTTGTAAGCAAATATATGTTTTATTACTAATAAAATGTCACTTTTCCATTTGTTTGGCCACCATCAATGTTAAGGTTTCCTGGACAAACAGCCCAGAAACTGTTGTATGCTATACTGCATCTTCCACAGATTCAATATGGCAAATACTGCAGCTAAAAGCAAAGAAATTAAATAGTACACACACACACACACACACACAAACAACAACATTCAGAAATGAAATACTGCAATCAGAATTCATGGAATTCAAGCAAAGTCCAAAACCACTAATGATTACCAATGAACACAGGACTTAAGAGTTGGAGGCACACACGTTAAGAAAACAAACGGGTTTAAAAATCCACCTACACAAGAAACTGTGCAAAGCAGAGAAATACTCTGAAGGCTACATGGGCATCAAACTGTTAGCTGGACTCTGTGTTTGTAAATGCAAAAAATGTCGTAAAAAATAAACAAACAAAAAATATCAGTTTATCAAATGTCAGGCAGTACACGCCTACACCCAACAAGCACCTAGACCTGCTTGATCCATTGCTGAGCTTGTCGCCTGTTTTATCTACATAGCTACTGTGTCATGGGTCTAAGGCTCAGTATTTTCAGCTTTTAATAAAAAAAAATGTAGAAATTAATTGGTGTTTGATATGTCAAACTTTAAAAAGACAAAATACAAAACCCCAGCTGAAATCAGATAGTAAAAATGCAATTTGATTGTATCTTTTTAAAGCTACACTATCAATATTATTATACTAACAATAGGCCACATAACTACATGTAATGTAAAAAGGGTCACTCATATTGACATATCTTGAGAGAAATTACTTTATAACCAAACTCTGCAGTTCCCTCTCATCTCTGCTGAATGTTTTAATGTCTTTTTTAAATTTATTGTACAACCCAAACCTTTGCTGTTTTGGTTCAGACTCGCCACACTAATCCAGCTTGTTCCTAGCACCAGCAAGGAGTACTTGTCAGTCAACAAGCTCTGATAAACCCATTGTACACTACTTTCCCAGAATTAAACAAGGAGACAATGTTAATGAGTAGCTGGTTAACAAAGCAACTAGATAGCCACAGGTTGGTGGAGACCAAAACAGGGCTACGAGGAGCATTAATACTGGACTTACATTTTTCTGCCGGAGACACAACTCTCATTTAATACTGTTATTGTCATTGCTAGATATGTAATAAGTAACGGTTTTCTAACATGTTAACCATATCAACTTTTCATGACCCCCCTGCAACCCTCTTCAGTATAAAGTGGTACAGACAATGCATAGATGGACCTGGGATGGCAGTTACACTAGCTACAATGGTCTAGTTATTTTAGGCCTGAATGAACAGCAGTATCTGAGTTTTATCACAGGATAACCTCATCTACTTGCAGCAAAAAAATATTTGAATATGAACTGACAAAATTCTTGTAAAATCAGTTTAAATCTACATTTTTCTGTTAAATGAACATGGCGAGTCTCTTCTTTGATATAAGAAACCATAGAATGCTCACCAGAGATGGGATACAAAATCATAATCAATCCTCTAGTTAATTCACAAATGTATTATTTTTACCTAGATCTTGGAATGCATCTATCACTTCAAAAGCTGAGTGCCTTCACTAGGGAAGAAAATTACCACCTCTGATTAGCCAAAAACTGGCATATACCCTGTACTGTGACTGTGTGTCACTCTTCAGGTCACTTCTGGAAGTAATCATTGTTTTGCCAAATAAAATAGTTACAATGACTATGCAAGTTTTGAAATCCACCATCCACTGGGGTCAGTTTGTTTTTTGGTCTGGTGTCCTATATTGCCACTAATCATCTGTACCAGAACAACTAGACAGACCCCAAAGAGAAATGCTGGGTACTGGTGATACAAAAGCATGTTGATTCAAACAAACTACTAGCAACAAAAGGCAGGGTTGGAGTTATGCCTTTATCTTTCACCTAGAGCCCAGTGAGATCCACAGTGGCCTTGATGAAGATGGTATCATCACGTACGTAGGAGTTCTTAGAGTCCAGCTTGGAAAGTGAACAGAAGAGCGGGCAGCCACTGGCGATGTTCATGTCACTGACAGGCCTCTGGAAGGACGAGGAGGAGATGTCGGGCCGGAAGGCATCGATGATGTGCTCCTTGTTGTTCTGGTCGAGCAGCATTAGGGTAACCTGGGTACAGATGTTATGAGTCTAGCTTTACATCTGCCCTGATGGAAAAAAAACTGGAAACGACCAACTAAAGTTAAAGCTTGAATCAAAATATACAAATAACATAAAACAATATAGTGCTTTGAAAATTAAAAACCAAACCAGGAAAAAACATCTAAATGTCCAGTGTTCACGTGCATGTTTTACAATAACTTTTTCTTGAGTTAGATCAAAAGTAGGGGTGTGTAAAGAAATAGTTCTAGTTTGTAACGTGTCCTAAAATCACAAATTGTTACTTTTATATTTCTGTTTGCATATGTGCTAAGCTTGGCTAACTTCCAAACCGATTCAAGCTCCACTCCTAATGTACAGATACAATATGAGAGTGGTGTCAATATTCTCAGCCATCCCACTCTGAAAGAAAGCAAGTGCATTTCTCAAAATGTTGAAGCTTTCCTTTAACTTATTTACTGATGAATTACTCAAATTGCATTCTACAAAATGACTGAGTCTCCCCTCAAATTGCATTCTACAAAATGACTGAAAGTCTCCCTCCACTTAAAAATTGGTCTTGGATGTTTGCATTTCACTGTAAAGCATGTGTGACACAACAGATACATCCCAATTCCCTGAATTGCATCCACATTTCCCTCACTTGCTTCTTTTCCTTGTGTCTTAGTCCATCTAAGTCCAACAGTCCAATTGGGGGATGCAAGGAAAAGATCCGGGAAGAGAGGAAAAGAGAAGTGTTTTTTTTTTAAATGTTCTTTCCTCCAACCCCTTATCTGAAGCACTGTCCATTTTTAATGATGGCAAATCAGCTGTTAGCTGGATTTTAAAGCTCTATGACAACCTTTGTTGGTTTGGACTGTGTATTTGCTTATATATGAGCAAGGGGACACATTTATCACCTCCACCGCCCCTTTCTTCTTTGTTTGAAAATGTTTAAATTGTCTGATAAACACAGTTTTCCACTGCTCAGATGCTGGACGCACATGATCAATTTCTAAAGGCAACAATGCATTTTTTTTTAAACAATTATTTGCATCTGCATATTTGTAAATTCATTATTCTGTAGTTTTATAGAAATGATTTATTAGCTAAAATGTTTTATAAAACTGTAAATGATGCAATGTGTCAAACTATATTTCTATCTGATGCGCAGGGATTTTCAGCCTCATGTTACTGAATAGAAGTGATGGCAGAGAAACTATTATTCATAGCAGGAAATAACAGACTAGTAGATCTTGAAGAGAAAAATCTTTCTAATGTATGAATTAAGTTGTTTGTGCTTCTTTTGTCAGTTACCACAAATCCACAACTTTTAACTAGATGAAGAATTTGGACAAGAAACACTTAGGCATCTTAACTTGGCTCTGGTATTTGTCAACTTTGGTATAAAAGTGTGGTGATGTTGTATCAGATCAATCTAATCACCAGCAGATAATATCGAGTGTGTCTGTCCGGTAAAAGACTTCTATGAACTATAAATCCTCCAGCCTACAGTATACGACCCATACGGTCATTTGTCTCTTCCTTCTCATACAACCCATAGGAGCATCTTCTGAAATAGGGCTACTACAGTGGCAGGTGAAATTGTAAAAACTCTGCCAACATACAGCGCACCAGATGTTTGTCATCATGGAAACAGCCATAAACATGTCAGAAATGTGTACTGGCACTCCAATGTCATGGAAACTAAACATGCTGGTACAACTATGAACTGATTGTGTTTTGTCACATGAACTACTTGGTTAGGTTTAGCACAACCTGGTTAGGTGAAAAGACACTCGCCTCGGAGCAGGTCCTGTGTTTTATGTGCCAAAACTGCTGGTCACAGTAACTACTGGGACAAACAATATATAGTGTCAGTCTTTACAGGAAGACAGTCTCTCTGTGAAGAATGGTTTTGTGGATCTCTGCTCCTAAAGAGATCCCTCCTTGATCCTCTGAGCAGAAATAAAAGCTTTTGGCCACCGTTCAAGATGTCACATAAGGACAATATCCAGGTTGAGTGAGAATCAAGGAGTGAGGAATGATTAAATTAGTGAACTGGAATGTACCATAGAGAGCTGTTTTCACATTCATCTGCTGAAGGGAGAAAGCTTCTCTGTGCTCACCTTAAATTTGAGTTTAAGCCATCGGTGTGAGTTGGCGCTGCAGATGGCTGCCTCGGTTCTGTACTGAAAACACATTCCTTGTGTGTGTGTGTGTGTGTGTGTGTGGACGTGTTTTCTCTGCTATGTGGGGACTTCTTCCTGACTCCATACCAACTCATGAGGACCCATTTCACGGTGGGGACCTAAATTGAGGTCCCCATGGGCAAGAAATTGAATTTTAGGGTGGCACCATGGTTTAGTGTTAGGATGAAGTTGGGGTTAGGTTAAGGGTTAGGGTTAGGCAAGTAGTGGTTCTGGTTAAGGTTAGGGTTAGTCTACAGGAAATGCATATAAGTCAATGTAAAGTACCCATGGACTACGAAACATAAACTGTGTGTGTGTGTGTGTGTCTAACATGCTTGGCCAAATAAAGGTGATGCTAAAGAAGTGGATGTATACACAGCTAGTTTAGAAACTAGTCCTGATCCAATAAATAATGTACCCAAGAGTGATGTGAAAACTTGAAAAGTCCAGATACACAAACCATTCAGTGAACTGGGAGACATAATTGTATATTTATGAATTCTGCATAGTTTTAGATTGTGGATTTTTCAATGAAAGAGAAGGAACAATAAAAATTTTAAGAGCTGTTAATTAGGTAATTGAACTTTTTAGTTGTAAACCATATCAGATGCATTATTACTCAGAGAAGTGTTTTTAAATGTCTTAAATATCTCAATGTAATGTCAAATACTCATTACAACATGTGCAACAATTAAAGTTTGACAAAACAAATCATTCAGGTATTAAACATTTATCATTCAACCTCTAATCTGCTTCAGATTGACAGTGTTGTTGACCAACTCAATGTCTCAAATGTTGCTAAGTCCTACTGGCACATATACAGACGTGGACAAAATTGTTGGTACCCTTCTGTTAAACAAAGAGAAACTCACAATGGTCACTGAAATAACGTGAAACTGACAAAAGTAATAATAAATAAAAACTGACTGAAAATTAACGACAATCGGTCATTGCTTTTGAATTGTGGTTCAACAGAAGCATTTTAAAAAAAAACAAACTAATGAAACTGGCCTGGACAAAAATGAAGGTACCCTTAACTTAATATTTTGTTGCACAACCTTTTGAGGCAATCACTGCAATCAAGCGATTTCTGTAACTCCCAATGAGACTTCTACACCTGTTGGCAGGTATTTTGGCCCACTCCTCGTGAGCAAACTGCTCCAGCTGTCTCAGGTTTGAAGGATGCCTTTTCCAGACTGCATGTTTCAGCTCTTTCCACAGATGTTCAATAGGATTTCCAGTAGATCAGGGCTCATAGAAGGCCACTTCAGAACAGTCCAATGTTTTCTTCTTAGCCATTCTTGGGTGTTTTTAGCTGTGTGTTTTGGGTCATTATCTTGTTGAAGGACCCAGGACCTGTGACTGAGACCAAGCTTTCTTGACACTGGGCAGCACTTTTCCAGAATGCCTTGATAGTCTTGAGATTTCATTGTACCCTGCACAGATTCAAGACACTCTGTACCAGATACAGCAAAGCAGCCCCAGAACATAACTGAGCCTCCTCCATGTTTCACAGTAGGTACAGTGTTCTTTTCTTTGTATGCTTCATCTGTGCGTCTGTGAACATAGAGCTGATGTGACTTGCCAAACAGTTACAGTTTTGTCTCATCTGTCCAAAGGACATTCTCCTAGAAGCTTGGTGGCTGGTCAATAAGCATTTTGGTAAATTCCATTCTCGCTTTTTTATGATTTGCTTTCAACAGTGGAGTCCTCCTCGGTCGTCTTCCATGAAGTCCACTGTGGCTCAGACAGTGACAGAGGGTGCGATCTGACACTGATGTACCTTGACCTTGGAGTTCACCTCTAATCTCTTTGGAAGTTGTTCTGGGCTCTTTGGTTACCATTTCCATTATCCGTCTCTTCAATTTGTCATCAATTTTCCTCTTGCGGCCATGTCCAGGGAGGTTGGCTACAGTGCCGTGGACCTTAAACTTCTGAATAATACATACCACTGTAGTCACAGGAACATCAAGCTGCTTGGAGATGGTCTTATAGCCTTTACCTTTAACATGCTTGTCTATAATTTTCTTTCTAATCTCCTGAGACAACTCTCTCCTTAGCTTCCTGTGGTCCAGGTTCAGTGTGGTACACACCATGATACCAAACAGCACAGTGACTACTTTTCACCCTCTAAATAGGCAGACTGACTGATTACAAGATTGAAGACACCTGTGATGCTAATTACAGGACACACTTTAGTTTAACATGTCTCTGTGGTCAAATTATTTTCAATCCTTTCTAGGGGTACCATCATTTTTGTCCAGGCCAGTTTCATTAGTTTCTGTTTTAAAATTCTTCTGTTGAACCACAATTCAAAAGCAATGACTGATTTTCATTAGTTAATTTTCAGTAAATTTTTATTTATTATTGCTTTTGTCAGTTTCACGTTATTTCCGTGACCATTGTGAGTTTCTCTTTGTTTAACAGAAGGGTACCAACAATTTTGTCCACATCTGTATACATGACACCACCTTTTGCCAGCTATGTCCCGCCTAATGCTGAGACACAATTTTTAAAAATACAGAAAAACTCTCAAATTAAACCAAACCAGAACCATAAAAAAAGCTTCTATCGAGAACCATTGAAGAAATGAGTTTTCAGGGCCTTTAAAATATGCCTGGAGGTGGGTCCATTTTTTTTAATGACAGGGACAGTATATAATACAAATTTGATCTTATCTTCTAACTGTTTTATTATTGTACTATTTTGGTCTGATTCTAATGAGGGTTACCTTCTGATTAAAAGGCCACTTGAGGAGTGCGTCGCTGTGTCCTCTCATCACCACAAAGAACAGAGACAAGTGGGTGCCACGGCCCGTCCCATCACCGTTCAGGTAGATCCGCAAGCACATCTTGTAGCCGTATTTACTTGTATAAAAGGCTGAAATATATAATACACCAATAAAGTGTAATGATCAGGCAGATGCCTCATCAATGTCTGGATTGTTAGTCAGATGTTAGTCATCATATGAACTTGTTACCAGGAGAGAACATAGCAGGGGCACGGCCAGCCACAGCATCCTGCCTCTTCTTGGTGAAATCTGAAATCTTCCAGACAAAGATCCCATCATACGTGGCTGCAGACATTTCCCTCATTTTCCCCTCCATTTCCACAATGGACAGATCCCTCAGACTCACAGTCCTCTCCAGCTGACGAACCTGCAGCACAGCAACACATGAACAGGACAGTTTACACAACCATGTCCAAGTCTTCAGTGAGACCAAAACTCCCTGATAAGTAGTGTAATGTGATGGATGAATGTGATGTGCTGTGCTAACACTTGATCAAGCTTTTAGCAATGATTCTAGTGAGTTAAGTGATGGGGAAAAAATTTTATTCTGTGACTTTTTAAACTACAGGAGCAAAATCAAAAAACTGGAAACAGGATGAAAAGTCCCCCAGCTCAAGTGTGATATGTTAGAGGGGACACACTTGTCTCAGTTTTATCTGAGGAAGGGCCCACAGTTTAAGACTTGGCAGTCCGGCCGTGATGTTCATGTTCATCAGATCAGGGATTTATAGAGCTCATTTTATCACCTTGTTGTTGAGGATCTCTATCTTGTCCTGGTCCAATCTGTGTTGGCGGTTGTAGGCCTCCATAGTGGTGCAGGAACGCTCCATCTCTCGGTTGAGGACGCAGACGATGTTTTCAAGCGTGCTCACTTTGAGCTCCAGCTCCTGGCAGCGCCGGCTCAGCTCTGCCACCTTGGCCTTTTCACTCTGGAGCTGAAGCTCCAGAGCAGCGCCCACAGTGCTGGGCAGTGGTGTGAAAGAGGTGGACAAAGCTGATGCACACGCACCCTGCACAGGAGCTGCACCAACCCCACCCAGCTGGCTCATCTTCAGCTCCAGGTCCCTGAGGGACTGGTGAAGCTCAAGCAGCTTATGGCTGGCCACCTCCAAGCTCTGGGGCTGCAAGCTCTCCAGGCTCACCTTGATGCCCATTATGAAATGCAGGAGCAGGTTGAGGTGCTCATAGGAACACTGTCGCTCATGGTCATGAATCTTCTCTTTCTCCACCTTGGAGTCAAAGACAGAAACAAGCAGAAACACACAATAAGAGCACAAACAAGAGTCCTCATCTATTACACACATAATAGCAAGGACAACATTTTAACGTTTGTGATATTGTGCCATAGCAGGAGAAAATGTAAAAGCATAAAGCAAAGAAATGTTAAAGTGAAAACAGATATCAAAAATGAAGTACAAATATAAAACTAAACATACACATCCTTTACAACATATTGTGGCAGGTATAGAAGTCAAAGGTTTGGATATCTTTTCCCACTCAATTCAATGGGAAAGTGTGCCCAAACCTTTGACTGATTGTGCATGTGTAATAAAGATATGCAATGAATCTTAAGTAATTTGTTACTTGTTTTCTTTGAAGAACTTGTTTCATTAGGTGTTAATGACAGGGACTTCACAGAATACAAGATGCTGCTTATGTTAGCACAACCAGTCTGCAACTAAGTCAGCTGCTGAAGAAGAGATCGTTTTGTTGGCTGAGGGCAAGGATTGTGTAAATGAATGAAGGTTGTTGAGGATCATATTAGAACATACTTAGCACATTCATCCATCTTACACAATATTATTTATTCTGGAGAAAAAAAATATACAATTTGTCATAGATCTTATTTTTTTCTAGGTTAAATTTCTGTTTTAATCTTGTTTATATATAAAAAAGGTCACTGATGAATGTGTTACATTAAAACTGCTTCAGCAAAGTTGGGAAAGATTCTATGGTTTGATGACCCATCCAATACTAAGCACTGTTTCATGTAAGCCAAACATGGCAGAATCAGCATCACCATACAGTAGCATCTCCAACATTTTGTTTAAAGGTGCTGGGGAGTACTTCTGCATGTGTGAGAAAAAAGCCTTTTGAGGCCACAGGGGGAGCTGTGTGGATGCTGATTTGCTGACAGTTGGGTCTGAAGGCTAAGACTGCAAGGATAGCGGCTACATTAGCTACCATAAACTCAGACCAAAACCGTAAGCTATCATATAGCACTGTGGGTCATGTATGCCCCTAGGTTGTAACAAGGAAGAATAATGTGTGGAATACAAAACTGTGCTGCAAATATTTTGAACTTTTATTTTGTTAAACTGTGCATCAAGAGTCCAGCAATGTTAAATGAGTAGTTAATTAGTTCAGCCAAAGGTGCTTCTAATACCTCAAATCATAAAAAGTTGGGATGGTATGTAAAATACAGCACGGTCATCCAGCTTAGGCTTGTGCCCTTTATGCACTGAAATCCCTCCAGATTCCTTGAATCTTTTAATTATGTTCTGCACCACAGAAGGTGCCATATCCAAATCCCTTCCTATCTTTCTTTGAGGAACATTGTTTTTAAACATTTCAATAATTTTCTCACACATATGTTGCAAACTGGTAGTCCTCGGCCCATCTTTGCTCCTAAAGGGCTCGGCCTTTCCTGGATGCCATTGTTATACCAAATCATGATGCAGTCACCTGTTGACATCACCTGTTTCAAATGGAGTCATCATTTCATTGTTTTACCTCATTACTGGCCCTGAAATGCACCCGTCCAACTTTTTTGGAATGTGTTGCAGCATCAGAATTGTAGTGAGTGTTTATATTGAACAAAGAATAAAACTGATGAGGTATCACATCAAATAATGTGCTGCTGTGTTGTTTT